AGAGTGTTATTTTTCTGAAGGAGGGCTGCATGGGGGACAACCTCTGACTCTCAAAGGGTAAATGCTACAGAAAGTGGCAAAATCACAGTGTTGACACAAGAAGAAATTGGTGTAAATTGACCAGAAATAATCCTAGAAGCAATCTTCTAAATTGCGGCTTACCCATCTGTAATGCAGCTCTTCTTATAGTTCTGGGGACCTAATTAATTTTAAGATACAGGTACACACATTTACAAAAGGGATTAAATGACATGGATGCTTGTGGCAGCAGGCAAGGCATCAGCAGGTTTCCTCCATTCCTGTGTTCCTACGGCTCTGGAGTTATAATTCCTGTAGCATGTAAGGAGAGGGGCTACCTAGTCCATGGTACAAGGTTCAAATATGCTGACATTGTTATTGCTCATTAATTGGATTTAATTGCTATAAGGTTCAAGTAGATAATATCAGTTACTATTACTAATTCCCGTGGAGTCAGGGGAGAGTTTCTTTATATCTTACTGTAAACAAGTTCATGTCAGGAAGCGCTACAACATGGATGCAGATGCTGAATCTGTGACAGATCTACATTTGGAATGTGCAAAACCACACAGGACAAAGCACAGAACATATATTCCCTCCCTTTTATAGTCCTGCATGACAGTGCTCTTGCAAGTATTCTAATCACCTGTATGACATTAGGAACAGTCCTGCTTTTAGCAGTTGTTCTGCAGGCAGATAATAAGGTTTCGTGACTCTCTTGCAGATATGACTAATTCAATTTACATACACAAAAGTATTTGGAATTTCACTTTCGCTAAACATCAGCTATCATCCTCTCTTTGCAGAAGCACACCAGACACTCGCCCTTCTTCCAATCACCGTAGTAAAGGTGGACTGAAGGAAAGTTATTCCATTTGTAGTTCAGCAGCCACTGTTTTCTGCAGGTTCAGTCTTCTACATGTGCATTATCCTGTTATCATGAATTAAACTCTGCAGGAATGGGCCGCATTTAGATACTTAATCATTCTTAATCTTCATACCTGCAGGTTCTTCTAAGAAATATTTCTACATATTATTAATGTGCTTGACGCATATGAGCTTTATCCTGTTCACCAAGCATAATTTCAGATTTATTGTTTGGGTCTGGGTTTTGAAATAGTTTAGCTAACATTACCTTAGGCAACAATACACTAAATTATATAGGAAAATGGAAACACTTTCAAAAACAAAGTTTCAAGAGGGGACCTTATTTAGTAGTGGGAATGGAAATTGGCCTGAGTTCCTAGTATGAACATTAATTCTCTACTTTCTATACTTCTATATCTGAATCTAACCTTCAGTCTTGCATACACATTGAAAGCAGCAGAAATACGTTTTTCAAGGAGAATGCAAAAAGAACTGGTAGATAGGAAATTCAGCTGCCGAATTTTTGGATTTACTTTAAAGGTTATTTCAATGTCATATTTCATTGAAGAACCAAACGCTTGCTGGTACTGCATTTCAACCTCTTAAATAGGATCCTTTATGCATCCAGCTCCCTCTTGTGGTGCATCAGTGCTGACCTGCCCTACAGACCACACCTTACAACATCTAACTGCACACGGAAGCTGTGCCACCAGCAAGACTGCTGCAGAGGTGTCAAATGTTCTTCACGACTTCCATCTCTATATTTTGGGCATCACTATAGGAGATCCTTACACAGCAATCAAGAATTAAAAACTTTTGACCATGGTTCTCTCTCCCAGTGTTTTGCTCTGTCCCAAAGCATATTATCTGCCCAGCAATAATAAATAAGTTTCTTCTTTTTCTTTATTTCATTTGATAGATTTTATATATATGTATATACACACAGTACAATATTTTTCTTTTGTGATAGAGAATAAATGAGAGTTTTCATTGCTGGTTGTTCATTAAGTCAACAGATTCCAGTTAATAATGAAAAAAATTAAACATTTAATATCAAAAGCAACTTCAAGTATCTTCTATACATTTCAGTATTCAGTATATAGTAAGGTGGTGTGGGGGTTTTCTTTTTATATCAAAAGTGTGTTTGAATAGACTATTTTTACCCTAATACTTTAGAGTACTATTCATATCAGGCATGGAGTTTAAAATGATGTATTTCATGGTCCCAACTAGCTCTTCACAAGAACCATAGGTCACTTGTACAATCACGGCGTATGTTTCAAAACAGGGTTTAATCATCAGCAAAGTCAAGATGCAATTACCATGTTTAGAAATGCACTATTTTGTTCTCCTACAACAGGTCAAGCTGTAGTCCTTGATGTGAAGCAATATACAGCACCACTGTTTGTAAAACAATACCTGACCTGGGCATAAATAGTACTGAAGTTCCTAGAGCTATTCATCCCTTAAACTTTCTGTATAAAAAATAATTCAACTTAGGCATATATTGCACTAATTTTATCATACTGAATAGCTCTCACCCATTATCTGTTCTGTCTGCTTAACTAAGATTACACTAGGGTTTTAATTTCCATGGAAAACCTGGGAATAGGGCAACAGACACACATATGGTGTGCAATAAAGGGATATCTATAATATCAATAGTAATCTCAGAGGCATTCACAAAGGAAACTACACATTAGATTTGGAGATCATTTTCTCCAGTAGATTCATCATTCTCTCCTGTAACTGTAAGCTTTGAACTTGAATGATGTTTTGCTGATCCAGAATCCTGCGCACTTCTCTGCAGGTTTCTTCCATAGCTCTACTCAACTTCTTTTGTTCTTCCAACATGGCCTCCATTAATTTTAGCTTCTTCTTTTGGAAGCTGCAGCTTTGCATTTTTCTTTTCTTAACTGGTCTTTCTTCAGCTCTGAAATGTGAATATTTGTTAACAATTAAACTCATATTCATAAAAAAAAAAACAAACCTACAGTAGAACCTAAAATTCTATACTACATTCTTGGCCAAACTACAACCTAGTCCTATATTTAAACCCCACCGTGTTCTCCAATTAATTCCCTTTCAAGTTCATGCCATAACATACGCATTTACTGTATTATTTCATAGCGTTACAGACTGTAAGAAAAAGTTTTTAAATCTCATTGTTTTTAATGAGAATTTTCCCTGCAGAATACCAGGCTTTTTTTTTTTTCATCTTGACATTTCTTACACATTGAATCTATAAACTGTATTGGGAGAGACATTTTGCTCATCTGGCCATTAAAACTCCAATTCTAAAGCCACAATAACCATCCCATCCGGAGAAAGTGCTGCACTGCTGCGTGTGGTGGGAAGTTACAGCTCATTTTTTAAAGCATCGCGTCGTTAAGGGTGATTCCACTACAGCCTCCTAGTCTGAGAATTTCCCTTTACACTGAGACACAGCAGTTGCACCAACCACTTACTTATATATTCCATCACAACACATTATAAACAACATAAAAATTTAGCAAGATACAGCTTACAAGATTTCTTCTTTTCTTACAGGTCACAGATAGATCACATTTCATATTTGCTTTTAGAGGCATTTGCCAGTTGCACGTTAAGATTTTGGGTTTTTTTTAATTAAATGTATTTGTCTCAAACACAGGATACTATGGCTACCACCTTCTCATGTTCAAGTTAATGACAAGCTTTATCAAGTAGGATAGCTAACAAAACAAGCCATACTTCCCTTCAAACTCCTAACATTTTAATGAAGATGTCAGGCATGCTATAAACCTCTGCCTATAGTTTTGTTTTCACTGTAATGTAAAAGCAAGACTCTGTATTTGATATAGCAATGAATTGCTATTTTGATTTTAAAAAGTTCTTCTGAAATTCAAAAAGAGTATTTGTAGCCCTCGGAGAACACCAGATTGCCGAATCCAAGGCTGTCACGAATGTGCCGAATCCAGTCACGTTGATGTTCCTCTAGCAGAACATCTCTAAGCTCTCCCAGTGTATAAAAGTTAGACAAGCATGTATCAAATTGTACATCCCCAGCTGAAATCTGTAGAACTGCCATGTGCAATTTGGGTCGTTTTTTAAGCATTTCCTCTACAATGCATCATGCTGAGTTTTTGTTTTGGAAGAAAGAGATAAACCTGGCAATAAAGCCAGCACTCCCAAGGTGTGCCGTTCATATGGCTGTCCTAACTTGGGTTGACAGCGCAACACATGAGTTCCAAACCAGCCTACATGGCATACAAGTCAGAACACACAGAGCGAGCTGTTTCTCTTAACCTGTAAGCAAAGCAAAAAGCATGCTGAACTGTGACGGAGGAAGAAAGGCAAGTAGAAGGCAAATGTGCAAGAGAACACACATCTTGAAAACCTCCAGTTACAGCTGGATAACTTCTTTTCTAACTTAAAGTGACAATCCACGTGTTCATTCACACTTTTTGTAACTCCGGACTGGATTCCCCAACATCAAAGTTATCTGAGGACGGGTCTTGAAGTCCCTTCACACAAACACCAATCTCAGTCGTGTTCTGCCAAATGCAGTATCCTTTCTAGGTGCAATGCAGTAATGAGATAGTACAGTTGTGACTAGTACACCATGTCAACGCTTTGCGGATTTCAAGACATCCTTGAGTAAGGATAACTTGAACTCTTGAAGAATGTAGTTTTATTAATGTGAAGAAGGGGAGCCCGGAGGGAGGTCAGTCAGCTGTGGCAGACTTGTATCATAATTTCATTCATGTTCTTATCCTACTTGACAGGCTTTGTGCAACAGCGACCCTGGCATTCAGATCTCTCAGCAAGATAAATAAACAACCACAAGCACCTGAAAGACTTCATGCAAATATAACAAAAAGACACACTCCCCTTGACATTTCAGAGTGCAATGGCCCAAAACAGGTGAGGTCTATGAAAAGAAACAAGTGGATTAAATTAAATGCTATTAAAATCTTAGAGAAAGACATTTAGAATTGGTCTTGAGGGAAACGGTTTGAGTACTGTTCAGTCATTCGAATGTGCTGTCCCCCTGTGCACAGGTAAGAAAGAACAATAGCCTTCCTTTGTAAATGTACACTAACATGGTGACAGACCGCTGGCTTTCAGATTTTCCAAAAATTTAAAGTAATTTGCACAATCGTGCACAGGTAAGAAAGAACAATAGCCTTCCTTTATAAATGTACACTAACATGGTGAACAGACCGCTGGCTTTCAGATTATCCAAAAATTTAAAGTAATTTCCACAATTCAAAGGGCTGTATCACCATTACACTGCTATGATGATGGTAAGGAAAGGAAGTCATCATTTTTATGCTAAACAAACCTTTGGAAGGGATATAAAATAAACTCACCTTTTCAGATTCTAGATATCATATTTGATTTGGGGCATCAAATAAATGTGCATAAAATAAATACATGTTGCGCTGCTCAAACTGTGGGTCAAGCTTGCAGCTGATCACTGAGATTATCACAGCCAGACAATCCTGCAAGAATGGGTCTTGGCTGACAGCAAATTCTGTTTGCCCCCATTAACTCTAAGGGCCAGAATGATTTGAAATGTGGTTCTCGAAGAGGTCAAGCAAGTGGGAAAGGTCTACAGCTGTCGAAGGACAATACTGAATCTGTTATTCCAAGGTTCCCGTTGCTGCACTCACATTCACAAAGAATTCATGCTTTTCTGGTAGGCAGAGCAAGAAACTTTCTGAAATGATGGTATTCTTTTAGCCAAAGTCACCTTTTGAATTTAAACTCGTCTTCACAGAGGATTTAACTACTGAAAACTCGATGGATCTCTATCCTCTTCCTTAAACAGCATTAGAAAGTAGCTATGGTAAGACCTGTTGTCTGAAACAAGTAAGAACTGGCTCCTAGAGCTACAAGAGGGCTTGCATCTTGTCAAAGTAAACCCTGGTGAGAATGGTCCTCAATAAGGAATGAGGGAGAAAAATCTGAGGCATGTCAATGGTACTGAGCTGCACTGAGTATTGTGTGACTTTCTTGGCAATTGTGGCTGCCATTTGGTTTTTAATTTCAAAGCAGGACCGAAAAAAAACCCATGAAAAAAGGAGATGGAGCAATTTGGATTGAAAGATCTAAAATAAGCCTTATTTTTAAGAGCAGAAAAAAAAAATCTTTGAACTGTTGTCCTAGAGTCTGCACAGGGTTTTATCTGTTTTTCAGTTAAGCAAATGTCGTCCATCAAAAACCCGTAAGAGACATAACCATATGTCCAAGACAATAACTGTCTTGTGCAGCTCCAGAGAGGAAAGAGAGGTAAAGTGTCTGGTGGTGATGGCAGCTACCTGGGCAACTGTATCAGCAGGACTGCAGTCTGCTGATAACTGAGAAAGTACCCGTTGACAAGTGCTTGCTCAAAATCGTGTTTCGGAGAAGTCCCCCCCAAAAGCCAGGGCACAAGGATTCTTCAAGGTATCTTAAGTGCTCTCTATGTTTGTTTACAATTAACAAACAAGACCTGGTAATTAAACAGCCTTAATTGAAAAGAAATACTTGTTCCAAACACCCCCAGCTTTGGTGGTGTTCCCAATCTCCTTTTGTCTCTGGCCATAGTGACTATCAATGAGAGGGCTTAATGATCACTCACAAGTCCATAGTAAGGACTTGGAATTTACAATCCAAGTCTCTTCTTGCAGAGCAGCTCTTGAAGGAGAGCTCTTGAGAGGGGTCTACAAAAGAATGATCTAAAGAACCTAATTTACAAGTAAAGAACCCTCAGTAACATGAAACAATGCAAAATGTCCAGTGATGCCTGAAGGAGTTATTTGAATACTGAAGTGTTTCCTCAGATACTGAGCCATCTTTCTTGAGAAGTCCTAGGCCTCCTAGGTAGCACGCCAGAGAGACCTCTCCAGTGTCAATAACTTCTTATAAGAGAAAGTCAAGAGGGAAGCAGGAACAGGAATACAGGTTCAGCACTGAGTAACCCACCAGCGTCAGCATCCTCAGATAGTTTCAGCTAGGAGTTGCCTCTAGTTTGTCAATCTGTAGGCACGAGCATAAGAAATTATCAATGTTTGCTGTAGCAAACACCAATCGGTTCCTGTTGCTGATTCTCCGTGTTGCATTCCTGTGCAGCCAACACCTCTGTGACAGTAGGGGTGCAGCAGATCCTGACAGCATCCACAGCCTCTGCCAAGGAAGCATCTCCACTCTTCGTCAAGCCTAGTGTCTGAAGGTAGACTTTGAAATCTGGAGGAAAGAGGGGTCTGGGAAATCCAGAACCTCAAATACATTCTGCTGGTACTGTTGGGCCTCCATTGTCTATGGCAGGGATCCTCCAAGAGAACTGGCACTGGTGTTCCCCTGACCACACAAACAAATTGTGGAAGAGCACTGGCATTGGGACTGTTCCAAGCAGAACCTTGCCAAGCTATTTCCACACTATGCTCTAAAACAGACAGGCAGGGTTCAAATGAAGCAAACCGAGGGAAAGAAAATTCTCCTTCTCATCCAGGAGGCTGAGCAGAAATGACAGTATGTACTGGGAACTGGGGAGAACAAAGCAAAACCTCCAGATGTAATTAGGCAAGTCTGAAATGCATGTGCTGTATACCTGTCTAAGATCAATTTAATTCACTGTTCAAGTAAAAGTTCCTTGATTGATTGCCTACACTCACCCAATAAAGCTCATTTCAGGGATGTGTGTGGATAATTAATGAAGCAGGAATTGAATACAGAGAGTAATCTGTCTACCAAAAGGTGTTACCTCCGCAAAACCATAAAACCCATTCTTCCTTTCTGACTACTTCATGGCAAATGAGTCTCCAGTACCATCAGTTTCTGGAATTTATGGCTTTCAACAGCTAGTAGCTGTTTCTGACTCGGTTGTGCTTTTTTAGCTATGTTCAAATCTGAGTAGATCTCCATAACCCATATCTTTATGGAAAATAACTAACAATGATCTAGAAATAAGCGATATTAATATTAGAGATGGCACAAAGATCTTCAGAGTTTGAGGACTGAGGTTCGGACAACCTGGATCTTCTGGTAAACTAGGCTCATTCAAATACAGCCAAATGCATTCAGGAATTAATGAGGCTTATCCTTGAAGAAAAACGTAGAGAAGAACCACAAAAATGGCTTGGAGGCTGGGCAAAGCATCTTGCTATGATAACAAGTCTGCATAATGAGTTAAGATGCACTATATAATGCGCATAGCCTAAAGCTCAAACTTCTTTGTAGATGCTGCCCATTCAGATTTTAAACAGCCACAGCATAATTTTAGAAAGATTAAAGGCTTTGCCAAAACTGTTATTTCCTGAATTAGCATCCTCACCAGGTTTTAATGCAACTCTGTTAAACAATTCATATCTTGGTTAATTCATATTACCACTCTTTCTCCATGTGTAAACCTTCTGTACCAAATTATTTAATCTACATTTAAAAACTAAAGAATACCAAAGATGGCGTGATCATGGAAAAGTGAAAAATACTGAAAGGGTCCCCAGTATAGCAAAAAGAAAGATAAATAGAAGTAACATCTGAAAGTTTAATTCCCTATATTTACATTAGAAACAAGACACCAGTTTAAGCAAGGGATTAATCACTGGAACAGATGCCTGTAGGGAAGAGCGAATTCTCCATCTTCTGAATATGTCAGATCTAGTCTGGATATCTAGTAAGAAATTTCCAAGAGTCAAAAAAAAAAATCATAGTAACAAAGAAGTGGAGGACAACAGAGACGTGGGGCTCCTGAGTGCAGCAGTCCTCTGCTGAAGGGAAGCATGCCACAGAACATTTCTGGGCTCTCCACCAGCATCACTGAATTCAAATACACGGATGGTATTTAACAGGAAGTCAGCCTAGATGCCGTGGTGGTTTTATTACGGCCTATTAATCTATGAAAGTAACCATTTTCAGTACAATAGACATGGCAAAGCAAATGAAATCTGAACCACATTCACAGTCTGTGAATTAAATTCTCTTACTACTTTAACAGTGAAAACAAAGACTGTAAGTTAATCCATAGGGTGAAAAACCACCGCTTTCAATCAGATAAAAATTCATTTATAGTGGTGTCAGGAATTTTGATTTTAAAAGTTTAAGCTGCAGTACAAGACTCCACCACATTGCATTATATTATCTGACCATAATAGAATAACTCTATTATTGTCAGATGGTTTATGGACTTTGCAGCATAATACAAGCTTTGCTGAAGCCCTAGAGCAGTGTCAGAACAATACTAAACAATTAGCAGGCACCCAGTTAAAGGGAAATAGGAATTCCAAGTGTTTTTCTCATCTGCAAATTGCAGCAAAAAAATGTATTTTATCCCATATTAATCGTATATCACTATTAAAATCTGGTTCTTGTAAGAAGGTCCCAAGCTCAAAGAATTTCAAATAAAATGCAAAGAAACCCAATTTCAACTATTTTTAGCCTGAGAGTATGTATGCATTGATTGAAGAATGAATCTATCATGAAAGTTAAACATTAAATTCAGTAATTTTTTTTAAGTTGTGATTTATATAGCCAAGTAGCCTCCTGCTATGTTCAAGGATACTGTGGAAAATACAAAGCTGATGCTCAAAAGCTCTGTTTGGGATTTTAAGGGAATAACAGTAAAGTGTTCAGAAGTTTAAAAGTAGACTTTAAAAAGTTACTGTTTGAGGGTTTTTCCATTATCCATTGTTGCCATGATATCATTATTTTTCTTACTGAAAAAAAAAATCCCACAGCATAAACTCACTTTGCACACCTGACCGATCTGTGTATAGCTTGCTTCATAGAAAAATAAAGAATATACAGTTGTAAAAAATACAGCTGTAAAATACATTCATATTTAACATATAGATATGTGTGTATATTTTTCAAAATATGTTTCAAAATAATTGTTTTGCATAGCCGCAAAGTACAAAAAATTGAGAGGGAAATTGAGGACCTGAAACGTTCTTTTAATTTCAAATCCCAGCATTGTCTTTAGTTCCTTTTTTGAATCTGTTAGATCAGCTGCACACCATTCAGAGGCAAGGGCATTCACAAAAAAAAAAAGCCAAGATGGACCCAAATGTTGTATGCTAATTCTTTTCTCTCTTGTTGGCTATTTCAAAGTGTTTTTCAAATATAGGATGATACACTAATTGCTTAAGCTGAAAATTGCTTCTCAGTTGATAATTTTCCATTAGTAACTCCAAAAGAATTATCTTCCTTGTCTTACCATGGCAGCTCTAAGTGATTTTAACCCATCTGATATCATTAGCAAGAGCTGTATTTCCTTCTGGCCAGAAAAGGGTTCCCTGCTCTTCTCTCATTCATCAGGCTAAACTAAACAGGTCAAAGCCCTACGAGCTTTTCAAAACCCCCTATGTCTATTGTAAAACCACTTTCCCTCTTTCCAGATACATGCCCCATTAATATCACAAATGCCTTCTAATTTTTTACTTCGATCACGATGCTCAGCTGCAATGTTATACTAATATCTCAAGTGATATCTACCATTCAACTTTTTTTTTTTAAACACATCAGAACTGTATTTTAACTTGAGAATATGTACATATCTTGCCGTTAAATGATACGTACAACATTATATTGCACAAAATTCTTTTATAGCAGAGACTGTGAGAGCATGGCTGCATTTTAAGTTAGGGAGCAACGTATTATGGAGGTCCTACCACAGTGACAGCTCACCTGCCCTTCCCTCCAGCTCCCAAACCCCGTTGCACAGCCGTCCTTAGCAGCGCTGCAGCCTGAGCTACTGAGCTACTGCAAGGACAAAGTGTCATTACCTGCTGTACGAACCTGCAGCCAGTTGAAAGCCAGCCCATGCCATTAAAGGCTAGATTTAAATGATATGCAGTTTCTAAACTGGACCATTTTTTTTATTTTTTTTTTTTTTTTTTACTAAACCAGGTTAGGTAGTTACCTTGGACAAAATAAATAAATAAAAACAAAAACCACTGAATCTGAAGCTGGCTAAAATGAACTATAGCTTAAATTTTCCAGATCTTATCACTATGGAAATAATTTGTTAAGAGTGGCTTAAGTCCATTTTAGCTGTAAATGAAAGCATCTACATGAGAGCGGGAGTCCACCTGCAAACTGCAAGCACAACAGACACGCATTTGTGGTTGATGAGTTTGACTTCTGTGATGACTTGTCTACACTCTGTAATGAAACCTGGTGTGGTGGCCTCTGTCCTCCCCTACCAGTCACCTACAGTACCAAACCTGTGTTGTCCTGGAGTTGTCCTTAAGCTGAAAAAACTTACCATCTGGCATTTTTTAAATATCTGACATCATCAAAAAGTCTAGTGAATAAACTATACCTCATGTTTGCGGAAAAGCGACCTTTAATTAAATGTTAAACAATATTATTGGAAATGAAATTATGAATTGGGAAGAAAGTTATTGCATCAGAAACGTGATCTTGGAGTCTGCAGATCAAGAGAGGCTGTGTATCCGGGATATCAACTACTTATAGTGAACTATGATGAAAAAAATTGTTGCTTGTGAACAAGAAAGTTGCTGCAGGTCAAGAATTATACACCCTAATGTATATTAGATTGCAAAAAAAAGTTTCAAAAAATAATCAGCTATTCAAGGGCTATTTGCTTGAATGAATTTACCCTAGCTTTACTCATCCAAGAGCAGGCCTGGAAATAATAATCTGAACTTGTTAGGTTGGTGGTTCTTCCAGCTCAACACCTTCTCCGTTGCATGACTGACAGGTAATTTTACTGTTACAGTTAAAGCCCCACAGACTCATGATAAGGATCTCTCGGATCGCTTTTTTCCTGCCAGAAAACTGTAATCAACCCTTATTTCACACCACTCTGGATGAAAAATGAGACCAGTTAAGTCTAAAATTTGTATCAAGTGTATAACCCTGCCTTTTGTTAAAATGCTGCTTTCCAGAGAACTCCAATCTTATCAAAAAAGGAAACATGTTTGCATTCTCAAACTAGCATTTACTTTGACAAAGTGACATTCTCCATTGTATGTAAAATGTTGCAATGTACTTTCAAACTGCCTGAGTAGCATTTCAGTGTCCACAGAAATATTTAGTTTGCATCTTTTCACCATTTTAATAATAGCTGAAGCCAGAGAAATTTCATACTCGTACCAAAAGCAAAACGAGAGCAAGCCAAAAACCATCTAAGCAGTATCTAAGCAATACCTCCGCTTGCACGGCAGGACTCTCTTGAACATGCCTGTGCTCCTATTACAAACACTCTACCCCATGTGAGCAGTGACACGCACGCTGAGTTTTGGCAATATGTTCCGACTTTTTGCCCAGTCCTCCTACTGCCTTCCAGTCTCTCATAAAGGAATAAAGAAAATGCCATAATTCAGCAAAGTGGCTGAGACTGGGGAACAGATCTCGTTTGTGATTTACAGAAAAGATACAATGGCTGTTAGAGGAAAACGTGCTAGGGTGTCCCCTTTACATAGCAGATCCGGTTCGCTCTGTGAAACACAAGAAAGGGGGAAAAACAGATGCTACCTCAGCTTGTAAGAAAGTAAGCTTGACGAGCTCTCTGAGTGTTCATCTTCAAAGCACTCTTCCCTTCCTTCGTATGTAAACTGGTTATATGGCAAATACAGAGGCGTGGACTTAGCTGATGGAGACTGCGAGGCCTCCGTCTGTGATGTAGAAGGACCTGGTTGCTGGTTTTCATGCATTTTCACATCGCTGTGGTCTGTCACTTTGGATAAGATCCTATCAATGGTTTTGTAGTAAGGCCAGTCAGGTGCAACAGTTTCACTGTCAGTCATGCATTTTAATTTCCTGCAAGAAAAGGCATACAACATTAAAGCTTGTTTTTCTGTAAAAGTACTTTTCATACAGATCTTCTATCCCAAAACATTTGTTCTGGTCACATTTAAGAGTCGAACTGAATGCTTTTAGAGACGATAAAATCAGACACTTTTTTCTTTTCATCTCCAGCAAAGCCTTTTGGTTTCTTTTCCTGGTTTTGACCTGTGATTAGAAGTTGCATGTAAACCCCAAAAGAAATTCAATACAAATAAAGAACATTACAACTTCTAATGGAAACATGTTGGTTGTAGAATAATTTTTGTCCCCCTTAGAGCCAGACTAACCCACCTGACAGTGGTCCTTGACGACTAGAGTAGGCAAACACACCGCAGCCTTTACCAAACTATGGGCAGCCCTGTCCTTCCATGCTTTGAAGGATGATTAGTTATTTTCCATGATGAATACAAGTGGCTGTAGATATAATTCATAGCCTTTTCCCAATATTGCCTAAAACCTCTGAATTACCCAGATAAAAATCCTAGTAATAACCATGAGATGTAGATGTCTGTTCTCCTGTTACAGAATAGAGATCAGTGCGGGAAAAAGTATAGAATTTCATTCATTTACAAAAAAATCCCAACAAAACCAGTTAATAATGCATTATAAACAGCATGCACAAAAGCATTGCAGTGTAAGGATTATCAACCTTGATTATGTCTTTCACATGCATCTTATCATGAGATCGATTATTCAGTCCTAACACAAAATTCACTGCTATCCCGCTTGGTACCCATTGTTATTTTATTTACTTTTACTGAGAAATATAGAACTGAGGTGTACAGATGAATTATGCATCTCAAAGAGACTCCAGTGCCCAGCTACAGTCCCAAACTTTCTTTTCATTTGCCTTTCCCAGTTGGGATCTTGTTACTCTAAACCAAAATGCAGCAAGGGAACACAACAGGAAAGGCAAGACCAGTGACAAATGCTCCATTTTCATAAACTAGAATTCATTCAAACAAACAAAAAGCTGAACCAAATCTGATTCTCCCAGCTAGCAAGAGGCTTCCATTTGCAGGAAAAAGGATAAAAAACTATTCCTGGATACCTGGCCCACCCCCTTTTCTTGAAGCCTTTCAGGTTTTTCCACCTCAGAATCCATCCTACCCACACTGGTCCTGCAAAGGATAGAATTAAGTAACATGTAAACACAATAAAAACGGTGCCAAACTTAAAAGTGAGAACTTGAAGTTCTTCCTTTTGAACAGCTCTCAGCCTAGGGTAAGGGGAAATCCACCAGTGAGGAAAGAAGGCAGAAAGATTTGCTTAGATTTTAAAGCCATTTAAGGATTCTACTTTTTTTTTCCTCATCCTTGCAAGGTCTGATGAGCTTTTCCAGCTATTTAGAAATGCACATCATAGTTCTGCATGGCAAAGCCTCCACAGCCATCCATATTTTTATGCCTTCTATGCATTCAAAATTTTAATTTCATACATGTTTCACAACCTGCTACTGCGATTTCATAGTCAGAGAATATCTAGCACAACCTGCAAATACACACATATCCATCAAGGACAGATACAAAACAGCTAAATACAGAGCTGACAGCAACCATCACTTGATATTGATTATTTTTAGTTCAATTGTTTAGGCTATTTGCACAGAAAACATATCAATTAAACTACTGCTATATATAATATGGCACATATTACACATAAGGTACTAGCCAAGTCTATATTCCATGTTTGTTTGCCATGTTGAAGCCCTCAACATATTCAAGCAATGGGGTTTAAAACATTACCAGCCTCAGCTGCTCATTGCAATGCATTCCCCACATGCGGTCATCCCCACGGGCGAGACGGCAACAAGCCACGCGTGGGCACATCTCAGCCATGCCAGTGCAAAGTCCAGCAGCTGCATTAGGACTTCACCAGACATGGTTTGAGCCTTGCAGACTGCAAAACATTGTGCCAAAAAGGACTGGGAAAGCTCAGAGCTGGCATTCTGCCGCCTCTGCTCTGAGGGCAGACTTGTGTTTAGCCTAGCATTAGCCAGAACCCCGAGTCCTCATCAACAGAGCTGCTGCCCAGCCAGTCCGTCCCCAGTCAGTATCAGTGCAGGGGATTTGACTGTCCCAGGGGCAGGACTTTGCATTTGTCCTTGTTGAATTTCATGAGGTCCCTGTCAGCCTGTTCCTCCTGCCTGTCGAGGTTCCTCTGAGTGGCAGCCCTGCCCTCTCCTGTGCAGACTGCACCCCCCCAGTTCGGCATCATCTGCAAAATAGCGAGCATGTACTCCACCATCTCCTCCTTCAGGTTGTTGATATTAAACAGGGCATGTCCCAGTGTAAACCCCTGCAGTCATCCACTTGGAATGAGCCTCTAGGTAGGGTACGAGCCACTAACCACTACTCTTTCAGCCCAGTGATCCAGCCAGTTTTTCTTTCAGCTGGTAGTCTGTCCATTTGGAGTACAACATCCCAACTTGGATACAAGGATGCTCTTGGAGGCAGAGTCAAAAGGCTTTCTACTGTCAAGCTAGAAAACATCCTTTGCTCTACACACATCTTCAGAACTAGTCATTTAATCACAGAATGCAAGCAGGTCAGTCAGATGTGATTCACTCTCAGTAAATCCATTCTGGCTATTTCCAGTCACCACCTTCTCCTTCATGTGACTGGAAATTGCTTCCAAGAGGGCTTGCTCCATGATCTTCCCAGGAGTTGAAGGGAAGCCGATCAACTTTTAATTCCTCTTCTTGCCCTTTCTGAAGATGGGTCTGGTAGCAGCCTTTCTTCAGTCCCAGGGATCTCCCTCACTACTCGGACTTTCAGAGATGATCTCCGACTCAATCCATTTCCACTACTGGTATCTCCTCTAACCCTGCTCCAGGCACACCAGCCTGAGAGACCTGGGCAGTGAAGACTGAGATAAAGAAGGGACCGAGTATCCTCACCCTTAATACTTGCATCTGCTGTCACTAAATCACTCCCCCCATTCACCAGCAGGCCCACAGCTTCCTTGTTTCTTTTTTTACTGCTTAGCAGAAGTTTTCAAGGAGTAGGTATTTTGCCTGAGTAGGTCAGTAACTTGGGGTTTATGTTTGAGCTCAGCTGCGTACCCAGACCCCATTTTTGACAAAACTATCATAATTTTGAAGGAAGAGCTGTGGTTTTTTATCTGCCCACCCAGCTGCAGGGTTGCAGCTATATAAAACCAGATATTTCTTTGGCTCTGAATGCACTGAATGGATACTAATTCTCCTGCTTCTCACTGCTTACCATAGCTCTGGGCTAAAAAAGGGATCGCTACCAGGAGGTAGGCAAGAGAACTTCATTAGCTTAAAAGCAGCACCAGCAGCAACCATCCACCTGTATGGAGTCTGGCTCATACATAAAGAAAAAAGGATGAAATAGCTGGAGAGATGAGAAGATAAGGGGGAAGGGATCGTCAGGCCTTTGAAAAAGAAGTAGGAACGCTGCAGGTGGAGGCAAACAGGGAGAACAGTCACTGGAATAGTGGCGATGGTTTAGCTTTCTGGTAAAAACAAACCAACTAGCTAACTCAGTAATATTAATATCAAGTTTCAGGATTTACTGATTTTTAAATATTTTTTTTCTACACCTGCCAGAAGTCCAGAAAACCTAGTGAGACGGCTGGGAGTTTTGGCCTGCATCAAGGTAAGCATAACTCTGGCAGAATTAAGTGTAAAGCAAAAATGCATTTACTGCTCTAAGTCAGTCATTACTGTAACTCATCACAGCAGGTCTTAGTTGCATCCAAAATGTAAAGTTGGGGGGTTTTGTTTGTTTTGTTTCTCTGTGGTTTTGGGTTGTTTGTTTTAATGAAAAATGAAGACGTTAAAAAGAAACTGGACAATAGTTAAGGCTGGGATGCAGTAACCTGGAAAGGAAAGAGGAAGATGAGCCAAGCATTCAAGGCTTTGAACTTGGGCAAATCACTGCCTGAGTGAGCAAGCCAGGCAGAAAAATCAGGTAAGAAACAGGGGTAAGTGAGAAAGGCAGCAGAGCTTGCAAAATAAAGTCACGCTGAGTTTATCTAGACTTGTTGCTGTTTCATGAGGCTCCATTAAAATCCAGCTGAGAGCAGAGGCAACCGAGAACTCGCTCCAAAAACCCGGGGATCAAAGTCAAGTTTCCAGTGGACAAATATCTGAAGTATGAAAACCACTGTCAACTCAGTTAATCTGAAAGGTGGTGGCGTGTCTTACTGCAGAGAGGTGAATAAATTAATGGGCTTTGAGATCCTACTGCCAAAACGCTCCACTGAATGGACCGAGACACCAGTTGAGCAATTTGTGCTGCCGTTGACCTTTCTTCAGATTTTATTCTCTGTGCCCATTAATCCACCTTCTAAAATAAAATTATTACAATATAATGTTCAAGAGTTTTTTTTTTTAAATCATCATTATTTAGTCAGTACAAAGCAATCTATAACTTGCTTTTTTTACTTTTTGCTCAAAACACTATTGCTTTTTTATTATTATTACAGTATTTGATATTACTACTTGCCTTAAGGAATGGATACAAGATCCATCTCCTGGGGTTTCTAAGAAAAGCTTTCAAAATAAATAATAAATAGCAACTTTTCACGAACCAATCAGCGGTGAGGAAAAGAAAGATGTATGAAAGTACAGTACAGAGTTGTGCATCTGCTATAAATTATTGAAATCAAAAAGAAAGCTGGTAAAATATTCAAATTTAACTTTCTGCAGTAATTTGGCTGCACTTATATTTTATCATTTGCTGTAGCAGAGGTCAAATACTCCAGTTGCTTAATGTCATAGAGTATAGCAACGGATTACACAAGCAACAATGTTTAATTGCTATCATGTACACATGAAAATAAAAAATTAGACTAATCTTTTATTCAAATCATGAGACTCATTCAAATTTACCAATCATTAACATTAATTGACTGCAATTCAAATCAAAAAGCAACAGCTGCATCCTGTTTCCTAGGCTTTGGGGAGGGTGATGTTTTTGAAAATAGTAAATTTGCATTCACACAGTTCTTATTTTTAAACATCAGAAGGAATCAGTCAAAACTGTGGACCACTGTGCAAGCTTTACAAACCCTGCTTCCTTTTTATAAGACAGCGTGTATTATGTCAGTGGAAATATTACAACAACAGATACAGTGCACTGTTACACATTAAGATCAGCATATTAGTGGTGACAGGACAGTGCTTTCTTTTAGAAGGGCTAATTACAGTTTTATATGTGCCGAATGCCCCAAGTAGCCTACGTAATAGAAAGAATTCCACACATATTCCAAGTGATGCTAAACTGCAAGAGCTGGCGTGCTAATCTCAGCAAAACTTTTGATGACCAGCACATCAGAAAGCTTAACTTTGGATTCCAGCAGGCTTGATTCAGCCCTTCCTCCTTCCAGGATGGATAAATAGGGAGGTTCACGCAGCTCACCACACAGGTGTCTTTAAAACTGAACATGAAAAACCTGGTGGCTGATCTATCCACAGCAGAGATTTCAGATTCTACTGCAATTCCTAAAAGCAGAATTCTACTCAAATGCACCTGCAAATAATTTTCCTTCCACCCTACGGTGCTGTGCAGAATTTTCCACCCAGCCAATTTCCACACTGGATGAAATGGTCCTTTAATATACTGAGACTCCAGTAAGAATTGCTTCAAGTCATGGTACATTTTTCCCTGAACAGCTTCCTCCGAATGCTCGTGGACTACAGTAACGCAGAGGAGTACAGGAACCGCTCCCGGATCAGCCCGTTGTCCCACTGCCTCACTTCTGTCCAAGGTCAGTGCTAAATCCTTCAAGAATAATTTTGATGGGCATGGTTGGGGGCCATTCACCCATAAGGACGCTTGCGTACTTTTCCCATCAACAGCTAGTAATATCCTAAAACCCGTTGTCTTTTATAACTATCTAATTTGAAGACAAACAATGTCTGTATTTTTATTTAATAAATCTAAACTTTAGTAAAAATAATAATAATAAAACAACCTACCACTCTCTTGGTGTCAATGATTTTCAGTGGTAATGAGTTCCACATGCTTATTATGCAGTGTAATACAAATTTATACGACTTTAACTAGTTTTACGTTTCTTGCCTTACAATTCCAATAAATAGCTTCTCGTATTATGGCAAAAAAAAATATCTGCGTTATATTCTGAAAAATAGTACTGTATACTTTTATGCACCTCTATCACTCCTTTATATTTCTTTGCCTTCTTTCCAAGCGAGTCACAAAGTTTTCCATTTCTCTTAATAAAGAAAGCTTTCCACATCTCAGCCTAATTGTGTTTTCTAAACATCTTCTCATTCTCTTGTCACCTCGTTAAAATACAGGGCAGTCAGAAATAAACGCGAGAATTCAAGGAGGAAATAATGACATCAAATAGATTTATATAACGGCATTTTAACATTTGAAATGTGTTTTTACCTCAGATGGGAGGCAATGGGATATGATCACCCTAAAATTGCTTTTCTGATGGATGCTTACGTGCGCTGAACTACACCTGAACTGACTTTACCTGGCAGCAGAAAATTCCACTTAGGATCTAAACGTACCCAGAACCAGGGTGCACACTCGGGCTGTTAGCCCATACGGAGCTCCATGCCACCGTAAGCATGCACGTAGTGATATTAGCTGCAAGACCTGCAAGAATTGCTGGCTAAGAAACACTCCTCCCCTACCTATGTGTATGTTTGGCTGACTTGGACTCCTTCTGCACTGTGAGTAATGGCTTTCACTGAGCAAAATAAGCAAAGCAATATTTACAGAACTGCATCTTAAAGTGCTATGGGATCCTCAGACTGGAAAGCACCATTATAAATGTGCTCACTCCTTTCTATTTTAGAACCTTTAATGTTTCAGATCTTTAATATCTGTTTCAAGAGTTGTCTGAAGATAAGCCATGCTACTTTTAACTTGGTTAAAAGGACTGGCAGAAATATTCAAGTACTGCTTTTACTTTTATAGAAAAAAAGAGATGTACATGTGCATATACATATGCGTAGCAATTTGTAGGACAGAAATTTTATTTGCCATTATAAAATTGTGGCACACCGTTAATGATACTCTTATCCGATTGAATATTCCAATTCAGTTAATTTCTGACTATCGAAGTATGGCTACAGACTACAGCATCTTTGCAACGCTGTAAACAGCTGGCTAAAAAAGTAAAGGGTCCTGAAGTGGTGGGAAGAAATAACCACTTGGGTGCGGAACACCCCCCCCCTTCCTGCTGCT